TGGGATGTTGACGTTCATGTACACTTGCAGATGATGTTGATGCTACGCCATGTTTCTTTACTGTGTGTTGTGTGGGGTGTGGATGGGGTGGGCTTGTCTCGTTTTTAAACATCTTTCCTGCCACGACCTTTGAGCAGTCGATACACATATTCTTAGGACATGTATGCGTATATCCATACCCCCAATTCTTAGGGTATAGATTCTTAAAAGGGCATGGTTAGATTGGCGCTTTGATATGCCAGCGAGCTGCAATTGCCAAGACTAACCCCTAAGAGTCACGAGAGGTGATGTTTGACCATTGTCCATGTTGTTTCGATCAATCGACCGTGCGGGAATTTTCCGATTCATGATGGTGTGTAGTTGTTGACATAGACAGGTCGTAGGTGGATTGTAGGTGTTTGAAGCCCATTGCTTTTCGGACAGACGTGGGTCCACCGTTCCACTGGCCAGCTGTTGGTTGGCCTACAAAGACTTGATGCTTCGGTGTCCGTTGGCTGCAATTGCAGCTGGTGGGGAGTACTAGTTTGACTTGATACTTCGCAGTTTTGGTTCTTTTTTTCAAGTCAACTGGCACGAAATTCGTTTCGGACATGTGCACAGGCATGGTATCAATGCTCTAGTGGCTTTTTTTCTGCATACAATTTTTTCTCATGATGGTTTTCGACAAGGTTACATTTGGACACGTCTTTTATTTTTTGCTATAGCCATGCTGACGGATCGACAGATCCTGGCTTTCACCTGGCTGATATGGCTCCGCACAGCCGCGGTGCGTCTCCCTCCGCTGCTGGTGGACTGGGCCAACCCTTCGCTAGGATTTCTCGATGAAGTGCACGCTGTGCCTTGTTCTTGGAGAGATTGTGTTTTCGTCCATCCATATGTGTGCTTTCTGCGTCGTTTCCATATAATTCTGGACTTGTTCAAACACATGTATATACGGCCTATTGACCTCGCTTACTGCCATTGACGACATGCAAAGCACGCCGGCCATGCAGGTGCTGACCTCGCCCTTCTGTGGCGATGAGACCTTGCTGGCGACTCAGCAGGTGGTCTATGCCACTTCAAATTTGGACTGGCAGCAACTCACGGATGGCTTTGTCTTATTGAAGGATGCCTGGCTGCGTTTGCAACGTGTCTCTCCACTTCCATCTTCGGCGCTTGCCGCTGCCATCCGTGTTTTGTCGCACCGTCTGTTCCTGCGGACAGCTGATTCTTGGGGTTGGAGCCGAGACGATCTGGTTCGTGCTGCTAATCCGTTCTGGCTGAGCAGTCTCACTGAGTCCCAGCGCAAAAGCACCAGTGCGAGCGGAGTGGCTAGCAAGTCCGATGTGCAGGATGAACTGTGGCTTGGACATATTCGTTTTTTTGGGTGTGAGGGACCACTGACACTTCTAGGCATAGCAAAATGAAAAGGGTTTCATTTGCAAATGTTTGCCCATGAGCCGCAGGCAGGGTCCACGTTGGACTAGGCCTTTGCAAGTGTTGCGCTGCTCGAGCGTCATAGACTTGGACTCAGAAGTTGCCATGGAAGAAGATTCACCTAGTGATCGCAGTGACCTTTCCGATCCGGCTCCATTTGACTCTCCGCCGCATAGAAGGCAAAAGGTCGAAAGATTTTGGCAAAAGGAAATTGCTGCTGTCAATTCCATGATCGAAGATCTATTGACGTCTGAGCAGCCACAGTTCGCTACTTGCCACTCCTTGGCAGAATGGTATACTTCGGAAGTTGCTGCCGCCAACCAGTATATAGAAGATCTCTTGACTCCCACGGAGACTGCAACTTGTGAGTCTTTGGACCAATGGCGTGCTGCTGAAGTAGAAGCCACAAATGAGTATATAGCAGATCTTCTCACACCCAGTGCCCCGCATCCTGTCCCGGTGGCTGCTGGCATGGTGGTGGAAACTGAGGAGGATGCCATTTCTGACTTTGACGACGCAGCTGCATCCTCTGTTGCAGTTGTGCGGGAGAGACCTTGTAAATACGGACGTTGTCCTCGGCACAGAGCAGTTTTGTACCCACACTTGCACAGGCATTCGCAAAGTCGTTTGTGGGGTTCCATTCTCATGAGATGCACTTTCTTTAAGAGTAGGTCCTCAGATGGAAAGCCGGAATGTTGGTATAACAGGATGCCATCTTCTCAGGAACGAGAAAAGTTCCCGAAGGCAATCCTCAGAGAGCAAGCACAGATTAGGCAAGATGTGTCCTGGCAGCTACGCAACCCGCGTTGAAACACAGGGCCTGCAGTGCTCGATGGATGGTGTTTTTTGTTTCTCATGTCATGGAAGCAAACTCACATATATTTTCGTTCACGGTTGCTGAAAAGAATATGTTATCACAATCACTGTGTCAAGACACGTTTGAGCCTCGCAATTTTTTTCTCACGCCATTTTCACTCTAGCCATTTTTGGCGCAGATCCTACCCCAACAATGAAGCGCCCTGCAAGTAGATGTCAGGGTAAACAGCTGCACCGCTGCTGTGTTTGCCATGAAACTGGCCACCGTGTGGATACATGCAAGCACCCCGCAGCCCAGAGAATCCAAGAGCTGCAAAGCCAGTTGAAGCAGTTGAAGCAAAGACATGGATTGAAGCATCGGGTTCTTCGACAGGAATCCAACAATCGCAAGAGTCCCCAGGACAACCGGAAGACTTACCGCTTGAAGCAGCAAGAGCTATACAGTGGCACCCGTGTTCGTCACGCCTCCCCTGCAGAGATTCGTCGTCAAAAGTCGCAACATGATTTGCTGCAAGGGGCTTTGACCTCGGAAGCCTCGTCTGTACAATGGTTGCTGCAGCACAAATTCATTCACAGGCCTCGCACTTGCGATGCTTGTGAGCAGAAGAAGCTCTACGAAGTCTTCGAGTCTGACCACAAAGGACCTGTAGAAAAAACATTGTTTTTGTTTTTGAACTCCGGAACCACTGTTGAAACCTCATGAAAAAAGCGAACCAGCCGCTATGTGGGTACATGTAGCTCACCAACTATTTGCTTTAGGAAGCAAGTAGTTCAGATTCTTGACTTTCGAAGTTGTAATCCAGAAGGACCTCATTGGCGTTGCAAATGTGGCCGACGTATGGGCTACCTCTCCCAGTCTCTGTTTCATGGTTTGAAGATATCTGCCATGTTGTTGGTGAGGCTCTTGCATTTGTACATCACGGTGGATTTGCAAGTGCAATGCAAAGTGACGGACCTGGTGGCTCATTGTGGCTGTTGCAAGGAGCAAGCCTTGCATTTCCTTGCCATCATGAGAGAAGCAGAAGCCCATGCTGGTCGTCAATGGGCAAGTGAAGTTCGCCTACGTGGTGACATCGAAGTCGACGCCACGGCTTTTGGGAAGTTCTACATCTCCAAGAAATGTACAGCCTTTCGCGCCCAGATAGATGAAATTCAAAGTCGACGCCGCCAACAGGGCGGTCGTCACGCTGCAAGTGCTGGGGGCCATGGAACGGAATGGGAGCACTCTCCTCCATCTGAGCGATCCTCGTGTGCCTCGACTTGTTTGCATTCTTTAGTTTTTCTTCGCAATGATGTATTTATCACAGATCTTGTGGGTGTCTGTGCACCATGTCACGTCTAGCATGTCTGACCACTTCCATACTGTGGTTGCTGAGGTTCTTCCCGTGGGAGTCCGGCCGCCTACAGAGTCTCTGCTGGAGGTCAGACTTAGCAAATTGCTTGACTGCGTGGTGAAAAAAAAATCCACTGTGTTCGCAGACGGCAATAGTGCCTGGCGCACGGAGGCTCGGCGCTTGGGCTTGAGACATGTGGAAGTTTGCCATCAAAGAAAAGAGTTCGTTCGCAAGGACAGAAAAAAGAAAGGCCAGACAGGCTCATGTATGGCTGGCACCCAGAAGTTAGATAGATGTTGGCAAGCTCTAAAGAAATTCGTTTCCCAGTCCTTTCCTCGGAAGCTGGGCAAGGCTGAGGCTAGCAGATTGCATCCGGCCATGCCACTTTTCGTGGAACAATTCATGTGGCGGAAGTCCGTGGGCAATGTGACAGCACAAGGCTTTCTGTCTGAGTTGGTGAAGATCTTTCAGAGCCGTGGTCGCAACTGAAGGAAGAAAAAGATTTCGCAGTCGCCGGCTCTGGTGCAAAACCGAAGTAGTTTTCTCAATTTCACGCAATGTCATTTTTACATGTGGAAATCAGAAAATGGCAGTTTTACCTCAGTCACGTCACATTTGCTACACTCCAAATGCTCAAATTCCTCACGGCCCCGAATCAGTCGTGAACCAAGTAGTTATAGCTTCCATACTATAAAAGCTGTGACAAAGCCACAGAGGTGGTTGATATAGCGCACCCCTCAGCAATGTCCAACATTTCTATCCTTTCGTTCTTTTGTGTTTGCCTGGTCCGATGTGTTTCTGTTGAAGGCTTTTGAGCCGATGCTCAACCCCAACCATCCTCAGTGGGCTAGAATATGTTTTTTGATTCCCTTTTTATCTGTTTGATCCCCGTTGAATATTTTTTAAATATGTTTATTTTCTTTTTGATCCCTTACCCGTGTGGGAGAGTCGAGTCCGAAGTGACTCCGGCCTTTCTTCGGTGGAAAAGGAAAACGAGCGCATGGAAGACCGCTTTGACAATTTTCCTTTGCATCTCCGCATCCATGTGATATGCTCGTCGAAAGGTAGCGTTTTTGCCAAACATGTACACAATTCCCTGTGTATGCTTCACAGGCACCCCAGTAGCGTAGCGTGTAGATGCACTTGACCTTTGAAAAACACGTACGCCTTATGTGGTTTTTCTTGAATTAGCGAATTCTTGGAATATTGAACAAAACCGACATAGCAATGTCCATATTTTGCCCAGCATGTTGTTCTCCATACCACCAGGCCGGTCAGTGAGTTGGTCTCATGGATGGTCAACGGCTGGCAAACATCCAAGCAAACATGGCAGCATGACACTTGTTGAGTGGATTTCCAAGCAGGGGAAAACTAACAATACATCCACCCCAATCAGTGCCAATCAGCGGGATCTGAGGCGCTTGGTCAGAGAAAAAGAAGAACAAACTGCCCTAGGGCGGTTACCAAATTGTGTTATGTTCAGAACACCGAAGATGGCCAAGTGGTTCAGAACTTGCACCTCCAAACCACTTAGAGTTGTTGATGTGATGTTGCTTCATCATTTTTCATCCGCTCTTGGGCCTCTTGGGTGTTGACGAGCCTCTTAGAACAGCCGTGGTTTCACGCTCGATGAGACGAGGCAAGGGCATTTGGCACGATCCATGGGAAGACTTGCCTTCTCTGGATGGAAGGCTGAAGCAACTCAAGCGAGTGGCGTCTTGCTCCGATGGTGGCTGGTGTCGGATTTCACCACCCGAAGAGGACCCTTCGGCCCCGCTAGACCTATCGGTGGTTTAACCACCAGATCTATTTGGTCGGTTTCTCAAGGTGAGAGGAAGCTCGGCCTAGTGCCTGACTTGTTCTGAAGGGGATGGAAGTTGAGGTCCAGTGCCTGGGTGGCTGAACATCTACTTTCCCCACCAGAAATTGCTGAATGTTCTTTCAACTGGTCGGTGGAATTGCCTCACAGACTCTGCGGTTCATGGGTTCATCCATGGTTCGGTCGAATGGTCACAAGAATGACAAGAATCTTGAACACCTGAAGCCCAAGGGGCATTGAACCAGCAACAGACCCAACAGGATTGGGTACGCTTGATATGTTGGGATTGGGTCATCCTCAATAAGAAAACCATTCTGGAGACATGTTAGGGCTCCTAGCATTCGGTTCAGAAAGCATGACAGGTATATTCTCAACAGGGAGACTTGAAAAGTGTTCTTTCAAGACAATTATGTGTTTTTCTCATATACAGGAAAGAAATGTGTCTCCGGAGTGCCTTAGAGTTCCAATCAGTGCAAGGAATCCAGCAAGATGCACCCATCCAACAGTCACTAATTTCCTACAAACGAAGCCCCGGCTGAAGCTTTCAGACTGAAAACCCCTGCAGTTTGTTGTATCCCCGCGAGATGTATCCCTAAGCCCTGCACGCTTTAGGAAGCGAAACAACATCGGATGCAGTGGAGAAGCCTCCTTCGTTTCAGGTCAGGAACTTGCACGCCCGAGACCTCTCTGAACTGCTATGCGAGACTTGTCGGAGAGTGGCAGTGGGATGGACAAGCAAAGAAACCATCAACTGGAAGGGGTGCAAGTCCTGCTCAGAAAGGAGCTTTTGCGGAGACACCATCCAGTTCTTTGCCGAAGGATTCGAGGATTCGAGGAGCACCCCCAACAGCTCGGCAACCACTTGGATGCTCTTTTTCATCACGGCTGCATGTCTCGTCCCGGATCCTCATCGTCATGTCCCGGAACCCAAATCTGCAGTGGGTGACCGAGTAACAAAGTGATTTTGCAAGGACCAGTTTTGATCTTTTTTGGCCGGACTACGGTCCTATGGGACCCACAATATGGGATGTGAGCTTATGGGATGTGAGCAGTTCGATTGGAAGTTGGACACCTTCACAATATTTCACAATACTGCCATCTACCCCGTGGCACGATGGGCTGATAGTCATGACCAAGTTGCCAGTCCTGTGAAGTACAATCACTCTTCGATCGCTCCGACCGTTTTTCAACGGTACATCCTTGGCGTATAAGGTAGGTACCCTGGACACATGCTGGGTACATCTTGTCCGGCCCTGCGGCCGGAGCTCGGATGGCACCTTTCGTCTAAGCAAGTGATCTACCGGACAATCTCCCGGTCTAAGCGAGTCGTGTCCCAGATCGGGCCTGGGTCTAAGCGCAACTCCACACGGTCTAAGACGTCGAACGTCAAAGACCTCGCTGGAAAGACCTCCCAGTCATCCAGTGGGAAGAGCATGCATTGCTGCATAAACACTGTGACTCCCGGGGACTGGCAATATTCTATATATCCCTATAGGGCTCCTGGCCCACCTCCGTTTCGAAGGTGGTTGGGTGTGGGTTTTGGGGGTCTAACCACCGAACCTGAGGATGTGGTTGGAGCCCTAGGGTATATACCCTATACCTAGCAAATCTTTCTGACACGTTTTCGACTGAAGAGCCGGAGCTCTTGAGACAGCTCCAGAAAAAGTGCAACAGTGCAACAGCGCCTTGGGGTTTCAAGGAGTACCCAGTCTTCCCCACAGGGTGAGGCTGTGCATTGCCCCCTTTCTCCTGCACCTCCCCATCTGAAAACCCCTTTTAACACTTCCAAGGAATGCCCAAGACTCTCCCAGAAGGCTCCGGATTTCTGAGGAGTTGAGCCTAGTGATTTGGCAACTTCGTGCCTGGTTTACCGTGGGCTCGGCACTTCTGGTGCTGCAGACACCTGGCACGAACCTGCGACTAGATGAACATCGAAAAAGCCGTTGCCATGGTACAGCGGAGTTTCATTGGTAAAAGGTATGTTCAGTTTGTTTTAACTGTTCTGTCTTAAAAATCAACAACATCCAGTGACAAGGTCGATATCAGAAGCCACAAACCATCCACACAAACACACAGTCACACTCACCCTACGAAATTGGTTTGTGTTTTGTTGTCCAAAGCGGTTGACGAGGTCAATCTGTAAAAACACACTGTTTTTGCTGATCCAAGATCGCTTTAAAGTACATTGGAAAACATTTGGTCATTGAATGAAATCAAGCTTGGGTCGTCATGCTTTGTTTTCCCAAGCCAGCCTGGGGTAAGGTTCTGAGTCTATTCATTGGTTATTTCACTTTGTCATTGGCGAGATCCTGGTAGATGAACTCAGGTTGAGGGGAACAACTTGGGTCTGCTTTGGTCACATCAATTTCATCACGCCATCTGTCAAAGCGGTCGACCAGACCGACCGCCCAGAGAGGTGGACTGTGACCTGAACGACCCGGGAACCTGACCTAGTCATGGGATAGTCATGGATAGTCGACCCGGGTCCTTCAACCGGCGCTGGGCCTTGGGTTTGAGGATTCTGAACCGCATCGCTGACATGCCCTACCGGCTCCCGACCACGGACGACGGGGGCGACCCTGGACTCGCTGCGCTGCGCATCATCGAGGGTGACATGGCAGCGGTTTAGCAGCGTTTTGGGGTGCGACTTTGGGCGTTTCCCGAAGCTGGGTCCATCCCCCCAAACTGGGAATCATCCCTCCAAACTGGGAATCCTCCTTGAGATTCTGGGAAACCCTTTGGTGGCACGATGTCCTTTGATATGTTTGTGCCGGTTTCCTGAAGAGCACAGCACATCCAAGGTTATATCCTCTTCTGTTGTGCCTACCAGGTGTGGAGAAACAGAGACGCCGATGAGACGTGCTCAGAGACGTCTAGATGCGCATCCAGAGAGGTAGTTTCATCCAGATGCGCCATCCTGTGAACTAGTGGTGGGAGTCCTGCAAAAAAGGGGTTCCAGAAACTATATATAGACATATTAATACAGACCATTGCAGGCTCAGAGTATTGCTGGCAAGTTCGATTGAAGGGCTGAACGGCTGGCCAACATGAACCGCGAGTGGCATGGGAAGTTGACATGGGAGATGGAACAATTCGAAGTGGTGTTCGATAGGGGGCCTTGCCCATGGGCGTTTAGATCCAATGGATCCACGGCTATAGTTCATAGTCTGGGTGCACGAGGTGCGACTTCGTCTCGGGGCCTGGCCGCCAGTTCACCCTGTTGAGGACAATTTGAAATCCGAAGTGGGACAAACTTTGAGCCGTATTCTGAAGAAGAAACGCCTTCCTCCCTGCACCTCAGCTCCTCGGCGGACGTGGAAACTTGGGCTCGTCGCCTGCGGCCCGTTTTTAGCCGAGAAGGCGACGGAGGTCCCGGTAAAGAAGGATGCAACCATGAACCCGTGCGTAGGTATCAACTAGTAACTGGTCACTGGTCCTTTCTGCTGCTTCATTGCCCTTGGCACCAAATCCAAGAATCAATGTTTTCCTACACGTCAATAGGTGGAATGTTGATGATGTTTTTACCCATCGAACTGAATTTGCAAACTCCTAATGGAAATGGTTGTGTTGTCCATTGTTCTTCTTGGGTGATATGAAACAAACTCAATAGCCCAAAAAGAGGGAATACCTTTTATACCTTTGTCAACAGGACTTACTTGGAGGGGCTGATTTCAGGGTCGTGGATTAGCTTAAATCACCCAGAATTGTTGGTTGGATGTGTCTCGCATAGAGATTGCTAGCATGTGGCTAAGGGTAGGGACCAAATTTGGCAATTTCCACGACAGCAACTTGTAACCATGGAGAAGTGGCTCATCCCCGGTATCCCCGGACGTTGAGTAGGCGGACAATGTGAAAAGGTGAGGTGACTTTGGAAGATCGTGTTCCTGTACCAGTTGCCTGCAATACCCATTCTAAGAATGACTCCCCTGAAAAAACATCTCATGGACGTACCCCCTTGAAGACGATCCCATGGACCCTGAAAACCACTGTTTGGTGGAAAAGATTCCTACAGCGGGGCCTTTGGTCTCCGTCAGATTCCATAGGACGTCATGCGTTTTCCGGGCAGGGTAAATGATCCTTGATATGTTTTACATGTCTTCTCCCCCTCCTCTCGGTGTTTTTCGCCCCAAAAAATGACGTCCGTGTCCAGTCCCTCCGTGTCCTCCGGCCTCGACCGTTCGAGGTGCGAGTGGAAGCTGCCCTAGCTGGTTTCCAATGTCTGGAGGTCCCGGAGGTCTCGCTCCAGGTGGGGTTCGGTCGACGGATTCTCCAAGGTGGTCTTCGGACGTGTATGAGTCTTTTTTGGTTTAAGCACCCGATTCACCATCATACAGCTTGTCACTGGGATGATGATCCCGATTCGGGGGGACCAAACCTTCTGCACTGTTGGGCATCACGAATCCACCGCTCTGGAGAATTGCTCTGGTGGATGGTTTGTCAGTGACAATAGCAGTGCTTATGATGATGATTTAAAGCTTACCATCTGATGGATGATGTTGGTCCCCCTATTGAAATGCACAAGCAGTTCAATTCCCTTATGGATCCACTGGCACCCTTTGAGGTACGGTAATGTGTGGAAAAAGCACTTGTACTTTTTTGGGGGAGGTTCCAAGTCCCTTTTGATAGGGTATGTGGATCCCTAAAAAGTGATTATGATGATTGATCTAGCTTGTAGAGGAAATAGATCACTCCAGGTCGTCTATTATATTTGCTGTGCACAATGAACAAGTCATGCCTTCAAGTTCAAGTGACAACATTTGTGTCAGTTGCACAGTGCCTGAAAGAAAAACAATATATATATATATATATATTGGGTTCATTGCATAGATCGAGTTTGTATCCGTTTGGGTGGCAACTATCAATGGGTCCCTATTTGTGTGTGTTAAAATATGGAGATCTTCAAAAGACCCCCTGGAAGAAAGAAACTCAAATCAAACTCGTTGCTTGAGGGTCCCCTATTTAAATACACAACCACTTGAATATGTCTTAGAATCCCACTTCGAGGTTCTTCATAGAGCACTTCTTCACTGTGGAAACCTGTAAAAACCAGGCTAAATCCGATACTCAATTCCCATCTGGGAATGATCGTTGTTTCACCGCGACCTCTGAATCCCACCCACCGGAGCCCCCTGGATCGATCCCACGTTACCATCGTGTGAAAACACCGCGGCTGGCGGCTGGCGCTGTTTTTAAGATGGTAACGTGGGAAGCTGTAGCTTCGAAGGCACAAACATAGTACAACATTCATTTGGTTGGTTGACCAAGTTGCACCTTTTTTTTCTGATGGTGGACTGGTGCAGCTCAAGTAGGGGGTTCCTTCCCAGTTCGGACTGGACCACCACCATTTAGGCAGTCTGTCAGAGGCAGAAAGTACACACCCACGACACGGTGAGTTTTGCTTCGCCCGAGCCCACGTAATGTGAGCGGTGTGGAGCCAAAAAAAAGGGTGATGCCACGAAGCTGGAAGAGGAAGACGAAAAGCAAAGCCAGCTGTTGTGAGGAGTTGCAGGGTGAGGACTTCCTGGATTGCTTAGCCATTGCTTTGGCGCCGGACCTGGCTTGTCGCGAGCGCATGGAGATAGCCAAGCCGCTTGGCGTTCGAACGAGCGGCTTCGGAGGCCTGTGAGTCGGCCTGTGAGTCAGAGATGGACCGGTATTGGTTGGCACCGGATTTTCGGGTACTCCGGCCACGCATGATGTGTGTGTGTGTGTTGTGTGTTCGATGTTTTGTGTTTGACCTGTTTGGCCTTTTTTGGGGTCACCCGTGGACTGGCTTGGGCTTCCAGGCTGGACACCCGAAGAAGTTGATTCGTTTGACCTGTTTGGCCCGCAACGGATTCCTGGCACATACTTTGTGGGCATGTCAGGACATGAGGCCCGACATGGTCGTTTCATTTCAATTTCTCACGCGCTTGCGTCGCTTTTCATACCTTTCGCCCGGCGCCTGCCATTGATCCACAGATTGATTGACTGAGAATTGAATGAGTATAGGTCCTGAACCATTCACTCCAGCTTTCGGGCATAATTTGTTCCCTTACTGAGATCATGCCATACTGCCAGTGCTCCAAAAATCCAAAGTTTACCACTCGTATTCAATCTTTCTCCACCAGGCCCCCCCCCATGAAAGTTCATGTCATCATGAATATTTTCAGAGGGCATTCCTCAGTCCAAAACGCAGCCCAAAGCAGCCTCGGTCCCAAGGCATCGCTTGGAATGAGCAATGAATTCTCTCTCGCATATTCCAAAAGCCAAGGCTCCTCATTTTTCCTTGTTCCTTTTCGCGATCTCTGGATCCCGGCACTCTGGTGAACGTCTCGATCCAGCATCGTCATCCCTGGGCCCCGATATCCCATCCAAAAGGCATCGCTTGGAGATAGCCGTGGAGGGCACCTTTGGACCTGATGCGCGCTTCGAATTCTTTGGCAGCGCAGTGAATGGATTTGAGACCTCCTCCAGCGTCACTGAGACAGGGGAGAAGGTTGTAGTGGCTGGGGTTGGTGGGGTTGTCGTTGTTATAGTTGTATAGCAGCATAGCATACGGCAGATAGCTTATTGTATAAATATGGTTTAACATGCATATATTATATATATGGCTCAGCAGAGAACCACCATGGAACCCGATACCCCATGCCAGTTGTTTTGCTTGGTTTCGATCTGGTCACCTACTAAGAAGTGAAATGGCATAGCACAGGGCGCAGTTTGTTTTCGTCGACCATGTGCTTATGCCGAAAAGGTGACGCTCCTCCTGCACAAGTTTTCCCCTGTTCAGAGACATTCCATGCGTTTTCAGAACGGCACCCTTCCCACTGGCGAATCACCGTGAGCTACCAAAAGATTCAGAAGCTATACATTGAGGCAGTTGAACATGGAACCTGAATTGGACCGATTTCTGGAGCCAAACATACTCTGACATACTCTGAACCAGTCCACTTAACCCGGTGGGCCCGGTGGGCTACGGAGACATACGGTGGCCGTGTGCCTTCCCTGTCCTTCCCCCACCTCCGTGTCCGATCTTTTTGGGGGGGTTCTTTTCGGTGGATGCTCGGGAAGCTGTGGGTTTTTTTGGGGCCCCCCTCTCTCTATAGTGGACCTGGCAAAATTGGAGACTGAGGGCCGAGCTATTCATCATGTTTCATTTTTTGGGGGGATCTATATAGTTGTCTCTACATCACTTGATGTTCCACCTAATCCTGCTCGAGTCCTTCACCTTTTTCGTCTTCGCACTGAGGACGTCGATGTGGTTGTGGTCTTACCCGAAGGCCATGAGTTGCGACGCTCGGCCCCCAAGAAACACTCAGACAACCAACCAGCCGCAGACACTCCATGTCACGGACTGGTTTGGGCTTCCAGACTGGACACAGGATTCGTTTGACCTGTTAGGCATCAACGTGTCACACCAGCAACGGATTCCTGGCACCTACTTGTTCCCAGACACTCCATGGGACTGGAATATAATATATGCCCATCAGTTGGGGTGGTTTTGGGGGGAGCGAGACTGCGCATAGTACTGCGCTACTTCTCCACCCGAAAGAGTGCTGGCCGACCAATCTGCGGAGATCGAAGCAGCTTGCGGAACTTTCCGGGGATTGGAGCCAGGAAGCAGCTCGAAGCAAGCGGCTGCTTTTTGCGTGGATCTCATGGGGAAGAAGCTGGTGGAGATGGAGGAGGAATGGGGTTCCTTGGCAGACATGTTGTTTTGTTAAACTTGCTGTACTTGATCACTGCCTGGTTTTTCCGGGAAGTTGCATTGGGAGCAATGCAGAGGCCGAGGCAGTTGCTCATCTTTCACCTCAGTCACCCATCGACGTGTCGTCCCATTTGTCGCGAGCAAATCGGTTCGGCTCCACGGGTTGTGAAACGAGCGAGTTGGGACCTGTGTTGTGTGAACGAGTCTCACAAACACTCTATGGCCTCCACCCTAGTAGCTTCTTGCTACTAGTAGCGATGGCCTCCACCCGAGTAGTAGCAGGAGGAGGAGTAGTAGTAGTAGTAGTAGTAGCGATGGCCTGCACCCTTGGATACGACTTTGATGTGCTGTTGGCAACTATGCCTATCTATGCTCATCCATCGAAGGCGGTAGATGAGTCAAGTAACGACGAGACGATGTTGCATCCAAGTCAAGTGGAGCGCCAAAGAACCACGCCATGGTGAATACAATTAATATATTGTTTTTTTTTTTAAACCTAGAACCTGAATGATCTCTTATTTTGGATCACCAACCACCCCTGGTCTTTTCCTATGAAAACAGGGTTCAAATTGAGTTCCAGGTATGTAATATATGAGTGACGAGTGCGGGCCTTTAGGCCTCTTTTTGGGGTGTTGATGAGTATCACGTGGATGCACGAGCTGGACACGGAGCCCCAAATGATTGGATTGAAGAATTGGCTCCAACAGATGTAAACCACGAGACTGACCTCAATCGTTTATTTCATCCTGAATCCAGAAGCTATGTTCACCCAGATTCCAGATCATACCCCGAACACATCTTGCTGTACCCGATCCCACTCGAAAGTCACCAAAAAGCAGAGGAGAAACAGTAAACAAGGAATTTGTTTGCAGACTAAGTACTCAAAAGGGAAAGTGCCCAAGAAGTCACAACTACCCTTATCTTGAAGCTATCTGTTGGATGAAACATAAATTTTTGAATGGTTCTACAACGCCTCCTGCGACACTTTTCATATATGAAAAGCATGTTTTTCATGGTTCTGTCTTGGTGCAGGATGACCGACTGAAACAAGTCATATACGAACATCATGGTCAAAAGAAACATCAATCTGAGCGCCTTTGGATACAGGTCTCCTTTTCACGTGCTGTCCTCTGCACACTTGAGCAAACCAGAAAGGGATGCCATATCGGTTGCATCGTTCCATCCAGTGAGTGGATCATGGGCCCCATGGGCACACCCGAAAACACCCCTACCCTCCAATCATCTCCAATCCCTATACAACTCAAAGATACGAAAGGATTCCACGGCCCTTTTGGTTAGGATCCCACGCGCCCATCCTCCGCTGTTTCCACCGCAGTACCGTGAATGATCGAGCAACAAACCAACCAGGGATTTGACCAGCTTTTGCGAGCCGGAACTCGGAGCGATGGTCCGGGGAGCATAGGGGGTCTCCAGTTCTTCCCCCTCCAAAAAACAGGGAGCCAGGCCGGAGCCAAGCGACTGGAGGAGTTCCCCAACCCCCGACAGCTATAGTTTAGAATTTGAGTCACCATGCTGTTGATGCTTTGGGCGGTTTGGGCCTAGGTTGTAGTCAGACCACGAGGTTTGCCTGTCACCGAGGTATTTATGTCACCGATTTGGTGACCAATGCGCGTGTGCCCGTCCTGAAGTGTCGCTGCAAAGACCTCCTTGAAGCTTCACTGTAGGGTGAAGCTGTTTCCATGCAGGTGGAAAAGGGGATATACAGTACTCCGACATCACGTGGACGGTTTGAAGGCCGTTTGAACCTGTTTGAACGCCTTCCAATAGGATTGGCGTCATGCCGACAAGCATTCCCATTCGTGATGTGTTCCGGATTGCTTGGAGTCGACCGTATCGACTTTTAAAACATGGGCTGCATGTCATGACCCAATTTCTTGAGACATTTTGAGGATATAGCTTGGAGATCATTTGAAGACTCAAGGATACTCAATGTATGTTCTAATGATTCTCAATTTGGTATGTGTTCCTAAAGGTGGCTGCTAAACCATTGAGCCCAATCTCGGCAAGCTCCAATCTCCTGGTTGTTTGCGGAATTTGGTTGCCCGCAAAAAATCGAGTCCGCGAAACGGTTTTTTCTATAAGAACTTTCTTGAGAATTGGCGTTGAAATCCTCCAAGTGTGCGCAAAAGGTATCGGCCCGGCATGTTTCTTGTTATTTCTTGTTGGGTGCAAGAAAGTAGTCCCTATGACCGCAGGTGTTGTCGGTAACATGACATCACCGTCCAATGGACCAGAACATCACCTACCAGCACCTTCTTGTCGGGTCCTCAACGGATTACTTATGGGTCTCCATTCGGCAGCCTAAGGTCAGGTGAGGTGGACAGGCGGATCTTTGACCTATTTGTGATGGACTGCAGTTGAGAGCATATGACAGCATATGAGCTGTTTTTTGGGGGGGGGCACAAGTGCCCGAGCCTCCTAGGAGATCGACATCACCTTCAACAACCTCTTGCCCCTGTAGCTTGACTGAATTATGACGAGTTGCGCACAGTTGTCTTCTAAGGCCCGGGCTTCTTATGTTGAGAGTTGACAAACATCGCCAATCGGTTGACACCACGTAGCCAAACATAGCTAATCCTATGTTGAAAGTTGTCAAGCTTGACATCACAAACAAATTCTTACTTCCCAAGTTCCTCGGCTTTGCAGGATCCAATCATCCCCCCAATATTCTTCACCTACATCCCACAAGCGAACCACAGAACAGGCCCAGTTCATAGACTGACACACTTAGATAATGGGTTTGCAGTTACATCTATTCCCCGAGGAAAAAGAGTGGCTCAACGGAAAGTTGAAGCGTCCAAATACTTGAAGGTGTTTCAACAAATGGTTTGTGCACATCTGCAGCTCACGAAAAGGCGGTTTAAACAGTTATTAAAAATGCAGGTACGTTTACACGGGTCCCAGAGGAGGTCTTCGTTGGCCACCGCTCCTCTGGGACCCCGGTGGCCCCCTGCTTGCAGAAAACTCTTAGAAACAGAGGGTGACACACACACCTGGCCGCTTTGCGGCGCTCTCGTGCAAAACCTGAATAGGCACCTAAAAAGCCTTAGAAACGAGAGAAGCAAAAGCAGAAAGAGCAGCGCTAAAAGGGCAAGAGAAAGATAGGGGTAGCAAAAAAGTGACTACTTAGCCCTTGACTGGGGTAGGGGAACGAGCCTCAAGAACCACCTAAAAAGCCTGAAAGAAAGCCCAAGAAACGACGAAAAACGTAAGAAAGAAAGTGGGGGGCATGGAGGGGATGTATGTACATGTGTGTGTGTCCGTTTGTGTGTGTGTGTGTTTGAATACCTAGCACTCTAGAGTTATTGATTACGCGGGACTTTAGTCTTAAGCCGCCCGGGTAGAGTAGACTAGAACAGGGACAACAGAGGGAAAGGCACCGACATACAAGTGTGTGGAGTACCATTTCCCTCTGTTACCCTAATTAGAGGGGGGTGGAGGGGTTGGGTTAGAAAACTCGGCAGGGGTTCGTTCTCCGTAGCTCGGCAGCATACACGTCAGGAAATTCATTGGGTGAAACGTGTGATTCCAGTACCAAAGCGCGCAGGAAACGCAAATTCAGTAAGGTGGCAATCCGGAATGGTCTCAGCGCCACCTTGCGGGGGATCACACTGTGCACCCAAGTGGGACGACACAGCGGCACACACTTAGATAATGGCTTTGCAGTTACATCTATTCCCCGAGGCAAAGAGTGGCTCAACGGAAAGGTGAAGCGTCCAAATGCTTGAAGGTGTTTCAACAAATGGCTTGTGCACATCTGCAGCTCACGAAATGGCTGTTTAAACAGTTAGTTAAAATGCAGGTACGTTTACACGGGTCCCAAAGGAGGTCTTCGTTGGCCACCGCTCCTCTGGGACCCCGGTGGCCCCTTGCTTGCAGAAAACTCTTTGGAAACAGAGGGTGACACTCTGACATTGGTTTTCAGTTAA